CTGGATCAGGCCCTCTGAATAGGTGAGACAGTTGATGTGCTTGATCAGTTTGGGAGGCATCTAGGCAGTGGGACCAAGTCCTGTGCTCATTGCATGAGTTGGCTGTTTGAAACCTGGAGCTTATGCAGGGACACTTGGCTCAGTCTGGGAGGAAGGGACTGGACCTGCCTGGACTGAGTCTACCGGGTTGATCGCAGTCCTCGGGGGAGGAATTGCCCTGGAGGAGGTGGGAATAGGGGGGTAGGCTGGGGGTAAAGGGAGGGGGTGGGAAGGGGGAGAATAGGGGAACCTGTGGCTGATATGTAGAACTGAATGGTATTGTAAAGTAAAATTTAAAAAAAAAAAAAAGAAATGAGGGGTTTCTTTTTATCTCACAGTATGAAGATATTGTCCATTGTGGCATGGAAGTCACAGAGGCAGGAAATTGAGGTGGCTGCTCACATTACACAGTCAGGAAGCCTAAAGAGATGAATGTTGATGCTCAACTAGCTTTGTCCTTTTTGTGTTCTCTAGGACCCAAGTCTAGGGAATGGTGCTGCCCACTTACAGTAGACCATCCCACCTCTGTTTACCCAATCAACATAACCTTTCACAGGTATGCCCAGAGACTTGTCTTCTAGGTAATTCTAGACTTTTTTCAAGTTGATAACCAATATTAAGTATGGCAGTATTAGGCAATGGTTCAAGCCTGTAGGTATAGAAAAGCATTATTACATAAAACCTTCCAGAAAGTTCAGGACTCAACTTCTAGATGGTAGACCTGGGTACATTTCAAAAAATAAACTTTCTTGGCAATGCTCAGATTTGGGGCCATGTGGTACCGCAAAGTTATCCCATTAGCCATAGTATGTGATCTCCAAAGTCATTAAATGGAGAAAAATGCTTTGAGACCTTTGTCAACTAACAAAAAATTCTCTACATTTTCATCATGGTGACTCTTATTATAAGACTATTATATTAATGTGTAATTTAATTAAACACTTGCTTAGATTATAAACTGATTTATTATTAAAACAGTGTAAAACTGTGCTTTCACACATTCAGATTTGCATATTTATTCATTTGCATGCTAGCTGCTCAGCTAATTTACTCTTGGGTTACTTTAGCGTGAAGGTTGTAAAACCTTGGGCATCTTTTGCTTTATTTTACATTTCTTCTCCAATGATATTTATAACCATAGAGGCTTGTCTGAAAATGACTAGGCAAACCACTTTCACTTCTGCCAATTGTACCATGCTTTTACTCTTTATCTATTTGTGTTTTAAAAAATAGATTTGTGTTTTAAAAACTTTAAAAACACATAGGTTAAAAATATTACATTTTAAACTTTCAAAAAATTTTGAAAGATCAATTTTAAAAACAAATTAACTTGGCAGTAAATTCTCTTTATGAATATGTGCATGCGAGTGCAAGTATCCTCAGAGGCCAGAAGAGGGGGCATCACATAGCCTGGAGATAGACACAGAGAGTTGTATGCCACTTGTAGTAGATGCTGAGAACCACACTTTTGTTCTTTTCAAGAGAAGTACATGTTCTTGACTACAGGGCCATCCCTTTAGCTCCTATGCCTTTTATTACTAAATTACATGTTTTATACAATATTGTTCATTGTTGGATAAAGCATATCAACTTACTAAATAATAAGATCTTAGGGGCAGATACATTTTCCCTATCAAATCAAACTTTGTCACTTTGATTTCAAAGACATTCTTATTATATTTAGGGCTGTTAACCTTTTGCATTTGCTTTATGATTGCCACTTTACAAGTGAGAAACAAAACACATCAGATTTCTCATTCTCCATAATTTAGGGTTCAATTAGACTGAATAAAATTTACCTTTACCCCTCCAGTTTCTTGAAAATATAGTTTTTTAGAAAATATACTCTGATTATGGTTCCCTTCCCTCACCTCCTTCAAGATCCTCCCACCTCCCCTCCCATCACAATCCACACCATCTACAGCCTTACAGTTTACCCACTGGAGAATAAAATCAAAGCAGACATCTAAATGAAACAAAAATAAACACACCAGAAAAGAACAAAACAAACACACAAACTAAGAAGAAATGGAGCAAAAGAAAAAGCATAAGAAACACAAATAGATGCAGCGATACACTTTTATCCACACAGGAATCCTATAAAAACACAAAACTGAAACCCATAGTATGTACACAAAGCACCTGAAAAATTAAAAACAAACAAACAAACAAACAAAAAAACCACCCAGAACCCCCAAAGTCCCAGAAAACAAACAAACAAACAAAATGCCTGGCAAAACATTATGAGACAAAGCTTCTCAAAAAACACCATTGTGTTAGTTTTCTATTAGCCATCTATGCTGGGAATGGGAGCTAGCATTAAGAGTGACTCCATTAGAAAAAAACTGCTTTTTCTTATGTGAGTGGTTATCAATTAGAGAGAGCTTTTGGATTAGATATGTGGCTTGTGTCTGCTTCTCCTTTCAATGCTGGGAACCTATCTGGCACAAACACATTCACAGACCCTGTGAATGTTGCCATAGTCTCTGTGAGTTCATATGTGTATGTCATCCTGTTGTGGTTAGAGGACCTCATTTGCAATTTGTTTTCACTCCCCTTTTTCAGTTTTCTCCACTTTTCATGATGACAAGAATGACAGACTGAACCTTGTTACTAGAGCCTCAAATTAGTGTATGGGTCCTCAGTCCTTGGTCCTCAGTCCTTGGTAATGATCGATACTGGCAACAGTCACCCAAAAACTGCTTAATATTTTAACAAAAGTAGTTGAGTCATAAGCAACAATCGATTCTTGATTCCTTCCAGTGTAGAAAGTGCTCTATTAGCCATAACTAAACTACTATGAACCATTCCTGCCTGGTAATGAGGCCGTGATGTATTGAAAGGTTCACTTAAGGGCCAGATACTAAGTACCCCCCAACTCCCCAACCCCCCCAACCCCCCACCCCCACACACAGGCCCACGCTACCTTTAATCTTTCCTCTTTGCTGGTTCATGTTTCCATGGGAGCAATCAGGTCCTGAGGCACTTTCCTGAAACATAACATATTCCACCTGACATGGTACTTAATATTTTATAAGTTAGATCTAAAAATGAAATCTCCATTGCACAGCCGTGAAAGAGAATAGCTAGAGTTAGATACGTGTGTGTGTGTGTGTGTGTGTGTGTGTGTGTGTGTGTGTGTGAGTCCTAAACAGGTGACTGGAAATCACATAAGTTCCGTGAGCTTTGCTGTCTTCTTCTGTAATATAAAATAGAAAACTCATATTGTTCCTCTGCTTAAAAGGAAGAGTCGTGATATACTGACATAAGGCATCTATCGCTACATCAGCCAGTATGCATGTCAGTAAGTTAGGTCACTCTGCCCCACTGAGAAAGCAGTTTGGTGTCAGAATGAAGCAGCGTGGTCCAGGCAGCTAGTGTTTTCAGATTTCAAAGAACACACAAAGCTGAGAAGTTTGTATAATGAAAGAAATGTTTCAAATATGCCAGGACTTCCAAAGACTTTAAATATAAAATTATATTTCATGTATAATAAGTCTTATAAAATTATATTTCATGTATAATAAATCTTGTTAAAGCCCCATCTGTTGAATTGAATGGTAGTACATGGATCAAAGCCACAGGTTAGGAAAGACCATTTTAACGGAAATAATAAATGATGGAAATAGCAGTTCTGGATACATTTATCTGAAAGATGTTCACAGGACTTGTACAGGTTCTTGCCTGTGTTTAATGGGATCCAATGTCTTTAAACCATCAAGATTCACTTGCAGGGTGCTAGAAAAAAAAGAATCGCATTTTAGGAAGATTGAGGAGTCAGGCTTACATGTTGATAGTGTTGATTCACTATGAAGCACTTGTCAAAATCACGCCTCAGAAATTCAGGACTCCTCCAAGCATAAAAGGGATCTTACAAATTCTATAATAGTGAAAAAGATGTCAGCTTCCAGTTTACAATGGAAGGTTATGTGATGGCAGAATTGGTGTGTGAATAAAGGATAGTTTACACGTCTGTGGTCTCAGGGATTTTTTTCTCGGATACTTCAGATCAGTCACCATCTTACCTATAAGTTGATTGCCACAGTAAAGCAGACATCTTTTCTTGCATCACATTGCCATTTTAGAGAAAGCAATAACCAGTTCTCGTCACATATTCTACTTTTGTACTGAGAGTTTAGGATGTACAATACATAAGGCAGAAACTTGTACATTTAGCCTTGTGTGTATAAAATGGATAACATTATTTTCTTTCTTCTTTGCTATTTCCAGATGGGCTTTTCTGTGTATCCCTGGCTGTCCTGGAGCTCACTCTTTAGATGAGGCTGACCTAGAACTCACAGAGCTCTGACTGCCTCTGCCTCCTGAGTACTGGGATTAAAGGCGTGTGTCACCACTGTCCAGCAGATAACTATTTTCTTGAACAATATTTACAAGTAGGTGTGTTGGCCAGAGATAAATCCATAAGCTTATTTCATGTGTGATATTCTGTGATATCTCAGGAAAGAAAGTCTAAATATAAATATAACTGTATTCATGTATCTATCATCTACTTATCTATCATATATCAATCTATCCATTCATATATCGTGTGTGTGTGTGTGTGTGTGTGTGTGTGTGTGTGTGTGTGTGTGTATTATTTAGAAATGTTGAGAGCCAAATGTGCTGGATCTGTCACCAACATATCAGTAAATTCTTTTGGAACAGAAACTGTGAGTTATATCTTTTATCCTTGTGTAGAATTATCTCAGTTTCCCTCCTGGCAGGAAAATATACTGAGCTGCATCCCAAGTCCTAGATATACTTCTTTAACTTCCTTCATTTCCTTGAGAGATCAATCTGTGTGCAGGAAATGCTTGTGGTTGGAACTCATACAAACTTTTCATGGATGAGTTGAGTTCTTCTGGGTTTTACGTCTTTATGTACAAGTGATAAGTCTGAGAAAGCACTGTTTACCACAACTCCTACTATAATACTGACCATATTGTTTGAGATTAAGTTCTATTTACTTATTTATCTGTTTGTTGTTGAGACAGGGTTTCTCTGTATAACAGCTGTGGGTGTCCTGGAACTCACTTTGTAGACCAGGCTGGCCTTGAATTCAAAGAAATCCACCTGCCTCTGCCTCCTGAGTACTGGGATTAAAGGATGTGGTAACACCTCCTTGCTGGGACTAAGCTCTTGACAGTTTCATAAAGAGATAAGATAGACTCATTGTGAACCTATGTTAAATAGTACCACTCACCATGGAAACAGGAAATCAATCTCTCTGTGTAATGGAAAGTTTATTTTGAATACTAAGGATATGAGAGAGGATAAGAATAAAGATATGAGAGTGGAATGTAGGCAATTTAGAGGGCAAATAGACATAAGCCCCTGATCTCCCTTTTTCTCCATTGCCAGAAAAATTTACTAAAACTCAGAATATGTTTTGTGAGAGTTTCATGAACACTGATATTTGAATGAATAAAAAAGAACATAATGTAAAAAAGCAAATCATGTAAAAACCATAAAAACTAGTTATAGGAAGCAATTCTCATGGCTTAGCAGAAATTAGTGAGGTTTATGTTTTTCTGCACACCAAACTTATTTTGCTCTGGAGAGCAGGAGAGGCTCCAGCTAACTTTAGTTGACACGTGTGTATGCACAGCTACCGCAGAGGAGCTTACTCTTCAAATAGTCTGTGCAAGGAATGGGTAGGCTTGACTTCTGAGAATTACTGAACCAGAGCAGCGGCACACACAGTTACTGGCTATAACACTTGTCTCTGCATCTCTATAAGATGAACATAGATGTGACTCAGCAGTGATTTAATGGCCATCTATCTGCCCCCAGGAGAATTTATGTGGTCCTCCAATGTTACCTGCGGCTGCAGACATCAGCAATGGAGCTGATTCACAGGGGATTTACTTGGTGTATCTGAAAGAGAAGGAAAGTGAAATGGATTGGATTTCAGTAAGAATTGCAATTTTTTTTTACTACTTTCTGATAGAGCCTACAGCTTTTATTTCTACAGTGTGAGTTCAAAACATATTTCTCCAATAACCAAGACTGTATAGTGTGGTAGTCACATTCATAACACACACACACACACACACACACACACACACACACACACACACACCCTATTCATAATGAATCTCTATTGTTTTTCCACTCTGAGCTCATGTATGCTAAAGCCAATACTATTTAACCCACTGTCTGTACTTTGGATTTCCTAGTGTGGTTTGTTTTCCAGATTTTTAATTCCTGTCAATGCTTAATAAGTTTACAGCATTTCTAGTACATTTAATTAATAAATACTCTGTGATTAAAAAATAGTATACTTTATTATTCTTATAAAGCAAAATTAAGGTATATTTGATAATTTATAATATCAGAACTTTCTTCATTTGGTTAATTTTCTTTCCGTACTACTGATTCTCTTACTTTCATATAGTTCTCAAACTTAACTCCATCAAGGCAGAGATGTCTCATACCACTTGGCACACAATGTTGAATTGGCATGAGATGATTCTTTGCTGAAGTGGATGGCTTGGTGAAAATGTTTGTGTTGCCAATTTTCCACCCATTGGATTTTTCTTTATTATTATTACTAATTTCCATAGCCTTTTCTCTGAGTTGTGTTAGAAGCCACAGATACAAACACACAGTTGTGGAGATGTATAAACTTGTTACATATATTAAACTTATACAAATATGTATTTAAACAGAGTTCCCACAACAAGAAAAACTATTATAATTTAAATAGTGCCCCTTGTTTCCTTCCTAGTTCCTCCTCTGCTGTGTGATGTGGCCTGGGAACTGGAGAGCACAAGCTCTCACAACATTGTTAGATGATAATATCTGTGCCACGTTGCTCAGTGTGAACTCAGGATTGTTGTTCAAATCTTACATGGTCTTTTAATAATAATAATAAAAAAAAACCAGACCAGATATCAGGGTGAAAGTTGAAAGATCAGAGAAGCAGAACAGCCAGCCACTAATCCTTACCTCTACGAAATCCTCAGCCTAACGAGAGTGAGTTCTGCTGTGGATATTGCTGTATATAAATAAAACACTGATGGCCAGTGACCAGGAAGGAAGTAGGTTGCCAGGCAGGAAGTAGTTGGGACAAGGAGAGAGGAGGATTCTGGGAAGCGGAAGGCTGAGGAAGGGAGACACTGCAGCCACCGCCAGGACAAGCAGCATGTAAAGACTCTGGTAAGCCACCAGCCACATGGCAAGGTATAGATTTATAAAAATGGGTTAATTTAAGATAAAAGAACAGTTAGCAAGAAGCCTGCCATGGCCATACAGTTTATAAGTGATATAAGCGTCTGAGTGATTATTTTATACGTGGATTGTGGGAATGCGGGGCTTGGGGAACCTGGAGAGAAGCCCTCCAGCAACAGAGTTCCTGTCTCCTCATCTCTTGTATACCTTCCTCTGCCCTGCCACATTACTTCCTGGGATTAAAGGCAGGCATGTGTGCTTCCCAAGCAAAGGCATGAGATCTCAAGTGCTGGGATTAGCCGTGTGTGCCACCACTGTGAGGGTCCCCAGGCACCCAGAGAAAGGGACAAGGTTTGTAGCAGCCCACTCTTGGGAGTGAAGTATGCAAAAGATGGGCCTGGAAAGCCAGGTTAAAAACAGCTCCAAAGAGGCCCTGAGGAGGGGAGAAGAGGAGGAAATGGCTGATGGGGCGCAGCCTCTGGAAGCTTTCCCCCACCTTCCTCTTCTTCAAGATTCATCTTTTTCCGACTTCACACCACCACAGCTGGGTGACCCACTGGAGCTAGTGACAGAGCCCTCTAGTTCTGCCTTCTCTGCTTTGGAAAGAGCATAACCTTCCACTCAAGGAAGGACTGGTTGGGTTCTAGGGGAGCTAGGGAGAAGTTCCAACACTCAGAACTGTGTTTCAGAAGGAAGTGAGCCAAGGAAAGTGGAAGCCACCCTCTCAAGAGAATCGCATTCTTGGAATTAAATAGGTAAAAAACGACATACAGAAAATGTGTCCCCCAGCAGTGGTCGTGAGTTCAGTCCCAGGGGAGCACAGTTGCCAATAAACCCTCCCTTCTTTTTATGGGATCTCCAAGCTCCAGGGCTTCATAGGGGAGGCCTGGCTGTGCCTCTTTAGCATGGGTGCCAGTATTAAAGACATCCACCTTGCAGCCCCTCATGTTACAGTGTGGTGATATATTGTGTACTCTAATAAACTTGCCTGAGGATCAAAGGAAGGGACCAGCCACTAGATTAGACGCAGAAGTCAGGCAGTGGTGGCACACACGTTTAATCCTAGCACTTGAGGTCTTTGCTTGGGAAGTACACACGCCTGCCTTAATCCCAGGAAGTAATGTGGCAGGGCAGAGAAGGTATATAAGACATGAGGAAAGAGGAACTCTCTCTCTCTCTCTTTTTTTTTTTTTTTTTTGGTTTTTCGAGACAGAATTTCTCTGTGTAGCTTTGCGCCTTTCCTGGAGCTCACTTGGTAGCCCAGGCTGGCCTCGAACTCACAGAGATCCGCCTGGCTCTGCCTCCCGAGTGCTGGGATTAAAGGCGTGCGCCACCAACGCCCGGCTTGGAACTCTCTCTCTTTAAGCTGAGGCTTTCATAGCAGTAAGAACTAGTGGCTGGCTGTTCTACTTCTCTAATCTTTCAGCTTTCACCCTGATATCTGACTCTGGGTTTGTTGTTTTTTTTTTTTTAAATTTAATTTTTTTTTTTTATTAAAAGACCATCTAAGTTTTGAAAAACATAGGATGCTACGTATAATTTTCTCATTAAAGCACACTAAAATGTTGGTCAGGTTTATGTGCTTCTCAATTAGAAAGATAAGGAGCTATTCCAATAGGGGAAAGCTGCATTGTTGAATAATTAATAAAGGTAGGTAGGTATATTTTCACTAAAAGTAGTTTTTTAACGTACAATATATTTTAATAATGGCTTTCTTCCCCCTGACCCCTCCCATATCCTCTTTACATCTCCATCCACCCTAATCCACACTCTCTTTCATTAGAATACGAATAAGCATCTAAAATACTACTTCTTCTTCTACTACTACTAATAATAATTAATAGAGACATGTCCTTTCTTGATGCTGGCACTCTTATCTAGCCCAGACCTGTGTGTGACCTGGGCTTGCTGTCACGGTCTCTGTGAGGTCATATATACTTTGGTTCTGCTGTGTCCTCTATCTTCCCTTGCTCATAGAATCTTTTGCCTCCCCTTTTGCAGAGTTCCCTGTGTCCTAAACGGATGAGCTGATGGAGACATACCATTTAGGAATGAGTGTTCCAAGGTCGCTCACTCTCTACACATTGTCTAGCTGTGTGTTTCTGTATAATTGTATTCCCATACAATACAGGAAGAAGCTTCTCTGATTATGACTGAGCAAGGCAGTGATCGAATATAGCAGAATGTCATGAGGAGTCATTTTATGGCTGAATTCTTTAGCAGAACAGTACTATTTGGTTTTACCCTAGGTCCCCGAGCTATCTAATTCCAGGTTTTTGATCACTCCAAAAGTGATGGGTCTGGGTTCTATCTCATAGAGTGGGCCTTAAATCCAATGAGATATTGGTTGGTTATTTTCACAAGCTTTCAGCCATTATTGCACCATCAGATCACCATTGTAAACTGAAAGGTTTGTGTCTGGGCTTGTGTTTACCTTTCTCCTTTGCTATCATGCAGAGTACCTTCCAGAACCAGGGACACTAGTCAGTAGTGGTGAAGGCTCTAGGTAGGAATGAGCTCAACTTTTCATGTTCAATGAATTATGTGGGTATGTAGTTTAAATGTGTCATTTTGTAAGTATTTTTGAAAGCCTTTGAAATGCACTGAAGTATGTAATTGTTAAAAAAATGAAACTTTCTTTTTCTTTCTCATTAAATTGTTCTTCATGTCTATATGCAAAATAAATGATCAAGTATGTATTTGTGGTGACATATAAATTTGTATAGATTATGTATGTAGTTATATTGGTATTATGTAATTATGCTCAGTTAAATTTCATCACACTAACTGGATGGGAGAAAAAAAAACTCAGGAAAAATTCAAACATATTTTGGAAAATTGAAATGAACTAACATTACCCTAAATGCCTTCCCTAACCCTGCTTACACAGAATGTACTGAGATAATATGACAAAGTGGGGTGTGTGAATGGATTTGACAGAACCAAAGGCATCTTAGGGATCTTCTGAACTTTAGAAATTTAGGGAGTCTTATCCTGAAACTGTAACTTCTCGCATTGTGCAGGCTTAACACTTTTCCTAGAGCCATTGCCCCTAGGACAGATTATTATACTCTCTCTGTCTTGCCAGCTTCAGTGAGAACTCCAATGACACCTCTATACTCTGACTTTTCTGATCATTTTCCGGAAGGCTAGTGAATATCAATGAACTGAGCTCTTAATAGCCCACATCGTACTTCACTCTGATCTCTGGGCTCACATAAATCCCTTCTTTCTTGGAGCTGCACAGTTCTAGCTCACTCAATTCTCACTACATGTTTTCCTGAGAAGAACAGTCAGGTTTGCAACTTTAACATGCCATTTTTGTTTTTATTTAAAGTATTATTATTATTATATTGTTATTTTATTGTGTTCTCTCTCTCTCTCTCTCTGTGTGTGTGTGTGTGTGTGTGTGTGTGTGTGTGTGTGTGTGTGTGTGTGTGTGCCTGTATGTACATGTTTATGTAGGTGCTGTTAGAAGCCAGCAGGGGTTTTTACATCCCCTGAAGTTGGAGTTATAGATGATTGTGAGCAGCCTGATATGGATGTTGGGAACTGAACTCAGGTGCTTTTTGAGAGTAGCAAGTGCTATTAACCACTGAGACATCTCTCAAGCATCCTCAGTCTTAATGTTTTCTTATCATAATCAATCAACAGATACTTTCTACAGATACAACTAAACATAGTTGACATCACTCAATAATTTTCTTCTGAGAGAGTAGGCAAAATTAGTTTTGGTTATTTATTGATTTACTGCTGCATTGCTGGGATCAAACGAAGGTTCCCAACAATGCCAGGTGACTGCTTTACCATTGAGCCATACACATAGCACAAGACCACTTGTTTATCTTCATAGTGTCTTCTTTTACTCATGGTATGAGCCTATGTTACTGACTGCCCTGGAAAGTTGTGTGGGAATTGTTTTATCCCTCTGGTTGTCTAGAAATGCTTTCAGCATATGTAGAGCTTAACAGGTAACTTCAGATACTGGGCAAAGTATCATAATTTAGAAATCTGAGTGGTGAGTGAGTTGGGAATATCTTTGTTCTTGGCTCTCTGTCACATATTGTTGTGTGTGACAAAAGTTTTCTTGGGGAAATGCTATGCACATGTCCTCTCATCTTAGATTTGGAGCTCATGACAGACCAAAGTATGAATACCATCAAAGTCCAATTTGTTAAGCCAATGAGGCCTATTGGAGTTACTTATGGAAATAAGGGTGAATGTTATTTACAGGAGCAAAAATGTCTCACAGACAGCCGTATCACCAAAGCCTACCATAGCACTAGTAAAAGCTCACAAAAGCTGGGAACCAGGCACCAATTGCACAGTCTGAATTCAGATCAGATGGTTGGAGAATGTCCTTTCAAAGTGACTTGGGTATAAACGTGTTTTAGGCAGCCCTGCTGGTTTCTGCTTCTTTTGGGAAGCTGATCTGGTCTTGGAGTCTCTTTTCAGCTTGGCTGATATAAGAGTGACTCTCTCTTTTTATTGCTCCCTCTGGCAGGGAAGGGCCAAGTGAATCCAGTCATTTTTCAGAGACTCCCTCAAGATATTTGAGTTGTTTGGCTTTCTGTTTAAAGAGCTTCCCTATAGGACAGAATGTTTCAATCTCAGAGGAAATTTTTAAACAACACCTCCCCCCACACACATACACACTCACACACACAGGAGTGGAGGGGGTTTTCTGTTTACAGAAAAGTTTTGAGATTATACAGAAAATGCAGAGCTGCTTCATGACACCTGCTGGGTTACAGGGTTATGTATACAGTCTGCCCAATATTTGTACCTTTCAGGAAAGTGCCACATGTGTTGCAGATGATGAATCTATATGAA